GCAGGCCGCGGAACCCTCTCGGATGAGCACGCCGGGGTCATCTCCGTCCTCGCCCAGCAGGCAGCCAAGCTCACCTCCGACCCGACCGATACGCCCGTGGTGTGCCTGGAGTCGGACAGTGGGTGAGTTTCCAGCCAGAAGAGCGGGGGGGGAGCAGGGCACTTTTCCCCCTCTTCGCCTTCCCCCCCCAGCCCTGGAGCCTTCCCCAAAGTCCCCACAACACAGTCTCCACAGTGTGATCCCCGCAGCAGCTCGTAGAATCGTTTGGGTTGGCAAATCCCTTTAAGCTCACCAAGCCCAACCATTCCCCTAACCTTGCCATCCCACCACTAAACCCTGTCCCTAAGCTCCACATTTAGATGGCTTTTAAATTCCTCCAGGGATGGGGCCTCCATCACTTCTCTGAGCAACCCGTTCCAGTGTTTCACCACCCTCATTGTAAAGAATTTCTTTTTTATATCCAGTCTAAATCTACGCTGTTTTAGTTTAAAACCATCACCCCTTGTCCTGTCACAACCGGCCCTGCTAAAAAGATACCCCTACCCAGTTTCCCACCCACGTCAGCTTGCTGGCTTCTCAACTGCCTCAGCACTTTTCTTGTTCTAGGAATATCATGATCCAGAAGCACGACAGCATCACTGTAGCAGTGCACAAGCTAGCATCCTGACCCTCGGGAACCGGCGCAGTGCTCCACTCCCACCTCTGGCCCAGCTCCTCCTCACCAGACAGCCGCTCTCCTCTGCTGCTCCAGTGCAGAACATGCTTGTAGTACTGAACCTGGGCTGAAGGCTCTCCCGCTCCACGTAACAGCTCCTGTGCAGCTACCAGGAGCTCACATTTTAGCAGTTGTGCTGCTGAGGATGAAATGTGGGTCACTCACCAAGCTCGTGTAACGGATCAGATACTACGGAGTGTATGTGTGTGTGTGTGGCCTTATTTGTTGGAGAAATCAATAAATGACCTGCAAAACCACGCCTTTGCTTCTCTTTGCCCCTGCTGTGAAAACTGTTGCCCGCTGCTTTGCCTTCTTTCCAAAGCCAAGTGAGGTAACTCCTCCCAATCTCCTCTTTGTTAGCACTTCTCTAGAGAACAGGAGCAGTGCACAAAGACTTGGATTAACGGAGGCTCCTCCAGCGGAAAAGGTACAAACACTTGCTGGGGAATTTCTCCTAGGAAATGTTTAGCTGCCTCTAGTTAAACGTTCTCTACAGGAGTTACTTGCTTACTACGCCTTGGATTGAAGTTCAAACCTTTACCTGCCTGTGCTGCCCGGTCCCTGTCTGAACTGTAAACGGATGCTGGCAACATTCTCCCAAATCCAGGCCCCCCTTCTTACAGATTTGAGCAGTTGAAACAGTGTGGGGAAACAACCCACAAAGCGGAAAGGCTTTCCCCTTGAAAAGCTGCTACACTCAAATGCTTCCTGTGTGTAAGGGAGTAAAAAAGGAGCTGGCCGGCAGCTGGCCGATGTAAAGCAGAAGGGAAGCTTCACAGCTAACAAATTGGGCTGGGGCAGAGGTACAACCACATTCACACTGCTTTGACTTTACTCCGAGGAGCAGCTCCCCTAACCAGCGCAATCCACAGTCTCACAGTCGTTGCTGTGTATGAAACGGGCAGCAGGGATGAGCCTGCCCTGCACGGCTGGGCTCCGCGTGCCTGCCAAGGTCAGAGTTAATTCTGCGTAACGACCCGGCCTCAGCGGCAGCAGGAGTTGGCATGACCAAGCTCTGCAGCGGTGCTGAAGGGTCCCTCTTCTCCCCTCTCCCCGGCAGCCCACGGAGCTGGGAGCAGCTCAAGCCCGAGCTTTTCCTCTCAAACATCCGACAGCTCCCAGTACAGATGCTGCACCAGATGCTGCTGCTGCTGCCAGCACCCCCGGGTCCCCCCCTGCCAAGCCCCCCGTTCTTCAAGCCCTTAAACCAGACTCGCTGCAAAAACCATTCCACTTCAATAAAAGCTGCATGCATGTTATTACAAGCCCTGCTATAGGGAAGGCTTCTCCATAGGCTCTGGCACACCTCTGCCCGGAGCTCTGACAGCAAGGCAGAGCATCGCCTTTTCTGCCAAGGGAGGGGACCGGAGAGCGGTATCACGATCCTGCAATTCCATCTGACCTCAGGGACGCCGACGGGGGTGACAGGTCAGCCGAAACCACAGGAGGAAGCGTGCGGGCTGTATTTACCCGGCAGTTTGTGCATATTTGCAATGGAGGCATGGAGCCAACTCAAATCCCGCTCGACTACCAGCTCCGCGCAAGGGCTGCAGCAGCACGACTGCTCCGCTCCAGCTGCCGAGCATCTTGGCTGGAAAAACCTAAAGCCTTCCAGACCAACCCCTCCTAAATGACGCAGTTTCCCGGGCCAAGGGCCACGCAGCAGAGGCAGGGTGGGCAGGACAGGCAGGGACGGGGCTTGGCTTCAATCCACCATTGCCACCTACTGCTCCGCTCAACGGCTGGCAAGACCCAGGGCTTTGCCAGGAGCCTTTGCAGGCTTCCCCTCCTCTTCCCTCCCAACAGGATTTCTGCTTCAAAAGCCCCGGGGTTTCCTGCTCCCAGCTGGGGAAGGGGAGGGACTCCCGGCCTTGGGGCCCCGCAAGCCTCCGGGAAGGAGGAGGACAGGCTCCATGCCCCGCTTCAGGGCTTGTTGGGAAGGACAGACACGGTTGTCCTCACCGGAGGTGAATAAAGGACCAGACTTTGGGGTGCCAGGACAGGAAGGGGGAATTTAGTCTCTGGAGCAGATGAAGAGACGATTCCTCTTTGCCATCGACTGTTTCAGGGAGGATTTGCCAGCATGCAGCAGCAAGGCGGTAAGGAAAAGTTTCAGGTTCATCCATCCTGACTGCTGCAGGGTCTAGCTTGGGCAGGATCCTGCCACTGCCAGAGGTGTGGGATGGGCGAGAGGATGGAAGGGAGATGAGCAGAAGGGAGAGCTTCCCAGGGAGCTCAAAGATGGCTACAGATAGACGGGGACCCCCCGACTTCTGGCACAAACCAGAAAAACTCTCCGCTCTGAAGCAGCAGTAAGGTGCTGGTCACTTAAAATCCCTGAAAGCTTAAGTGGTTACAGTAATTTGGTGGGAAAGAGAGAGGATATGAAACTGTTTGCAGGCAACGTGCGACTTAACGTCTGTTGAGAAAAAGGTCGATTAAAGCTTCGCCCGCCCTCAAAAGCTTTTGCAAGTCGAATGCGGAGTACGGGTGCCTACCTCATTGGCAGCCGAGGAGCAAGAGGGTTCAAAGGCAGCCGACCCTTTCACGGGAGCAGTGTTAGAATTGAAACAGCAACAGAGCAAGGTGTTAACGTGTCCCGAAATTCTCATTTCCAGGGGAAAGGAAGGAGGAAAAGCCAGAGGCTCCGGCAGCCGCGAAGAGCCCAGGCGCCAAAGCTGCGGACGGAGGGTGGGCATGGGGAGTGGTGTTTCACTTCTTCCTGGTAAGCAGAGGAGATATTCGGCTAAACGCTCCCGAAGCCGGGGCAGCTAGAAGGTCTTGAGCCTCAGACAGAGCAGAGGACAGGCCAGGCCGATCCCACCGAGCGAAGGGCAAAGATCAGCGGTGCTTTGCTACCCCGAGTGCCGTCACCCGTTTTGGAAAGACGCGCACCTTCCCCTAGGAAACGCCACCTGAAAACATCTCAGTTGGTGGAAATGAAGGTGCCCAAGCGGCAGCCCAGGGCCGAAAGGCAGCCTGCAATGTTCAGATGACTTTTGCCCCCTCGTGCACACCATCAGCGGGGTGTCACACCCCAAAGGGGTGCCTTGTACCCTCGGTAAGGGCGAGACCTCATCCTGGGGCAGCAGAGATGGGTCTCCAGGGCCCGACCGCAGGGTGCACACACGTTGGGTTATGCTCTCCCGGCAGGAGTGGGCACCTCCACACCACTTAAAAGTGCCAATTCTCCATGCTACAGGCTTTAACGCCACACACCCTCTCCCCATCGGTGAGGGAAACAACACCATCCCCCAGTTAGGAAAGCTGGAAAGCACAGGAAAGCTTTCCCCGCTTCCACTCCACCCAAAGCAACTCGCTGCCGATCATTAACTGCCCGTACCGGGGCGGAGGGAGGGAGCTAACACCGAGGACACAAACCATCCTTTGCCCCGTGGCAGGGCTAGCCTGGGAAACCGCACCGGCTAATGTCCGTCCCCGCTCCGCTCAATGCCTCGTCACCTCCCCAGGCTCTTTCAGAGTGCTCAGACCCATCTAGATTATTTTTTTTGGTATTAAAAAAAAAGAACTTACAGAGCAAAAAAGCCCTATGAGGGTCAGGCTCTAGCGTTATTTTTCTTTTCTTTGGAAAAGCCAGTTTGCACAGAAGGGTTTTTTGAGGGGGCTGCAGAGACTCCAGGGGATGGAGGAGCCAGCCCTTCTACTGGGAAGGGCAGGAAAAGCCATGTCCCCTCCTGTCCCTTGCACTGTGTCCCCCATCCCCTTGCACTGCTCATCCACACTGCTGGTATTCCCCGATACATGCGACACCAGTTAACACGCCCCAGTTTCTTTCTCCCCAAACACAACAAATTATCCACATAAGAAAAACAGAAAGAAAAGCTTTTCCTCCCGCCTGACACACACCCCCCCGCCCCTCCCTGTGGCATCTCACCTCCGTCTGCTTCCAATTCAGGTCAACGTCCTTGTGATGGGGATGCTCAAGACCTTTGGGATTTTCTTTGTGGCTTTCCAAGAGGACGTGGGGGGCTCCTCCGAGCAAGTCAGCTGGATCGGCTCCATCATGTCCTCCCTGCGCTTCTTAGGAGGTGAGCCGGCGTCCGTAAGGATGAGGGCAGCCCCTCAACCTCAAGCCCATTCGCTTTGATAGGAGGGGCACTGAGGCTGCTCCACAGATCCAATGTCCATCCCAGGCTGCTGCAAGCCGGACACGGCCGCTGCCCACGCGTGTCTTAGCAGGAGCACGGTCCAAGGACGGGGATCGCGTGTGTCACACCGCCTCGCCATAACAGATTCATTATATACATCGAAAGCAAAGCCTCACCCCTAACACCAATAGTGTTGCTTCTGAGCAAGCCAGCTGCTGAATAATTGACGGCCGCTGAGCGTGGTGTGCATTAGGAAGCAGCTTGAGGACAGCTGAAAATTTGGGGTTTGATTCCTTTCCCTGCCCCATCCCCCGAGCTCCCAGGGTAAGAGAAAAGGTCTCTTGGCTGCTCTCCTCGTGCTCCTGAATACTGACCCAAGCCAAATTTCTTGTCACCCCTTCCCTCCCAGGGTGGCACACGGACCACTCGCCAGGGCACCAGATGCAATGACCCCAACACAAGTCCCTGAGCCCTGCAAAGCGTCGTTCATCATCTTCAGTCCAAGCTTTCTCCCTTTTCCCTTCCAGCCCCACTGGTGGCCATGGTCTGCAGGAGGCTGGGCGAGCGGCCAGTCTCCATCATCGGGGCCGGCTTGGTCGGAGGGGGCTGCCTGCTCAGCACGCAGGCCACCAGCATCCCCTTCCTCTGCGTCTCCATGGGACTTCTCCTGGGTGAGCAGCCTCTGACTCCCAGTCGGGCAGAGATTTTTCTGCGCACGATGAGTAAAAGCAGCTCCTTTAACCTTCAACCAGGCAGTTCCTTTAACAGTGAAGTATCCCCTGGCTCCTTTCTATGAGATGCGTGAAACCCCAAAGCTTCATGCTCAGGAGCATAAAATACCAGCTTCAACATGCTAGACCCAACTAACCTTGCTTTTTTTTCTGGACCCAACATACGTGGCGAATCCTGGCCTTTTAAAATCCCTTACTGAAGTGCACAGCCTCAAACCCCCCTCAGATACAGAATCATAGAATGATTTGGTTGGGAAATACCTTTACAGTCGAGTCCAACCATACCTGTCCACTACTAAACCAGGTCTCTAAGCAAAATACAAAATACCATGAGTGAAATCTTGTTCTTCACTGACCACAACAGCAAAAATCCCCCTCGCTTTCAGCCCACGAACCCTGCAAAGGAGCTCTCCTGTG